GGTGGGGGTCTGGGGGTGGCCGTGGGGGTCGGCCCCCCTGCTCCGACGCTGACTGTTTCTCTGCGTTTCAGGGCGCGCCGGTGCCCAGCCCGCAGGTAACGTCCATCCCCTGACCCTTAGCTGCTCCCCGAGCAGCTCTCTGTCCGGGCGCCCTGGTGACATCTCCACCTTTTCTCCCTGGCACAGGGCTCCTGAGCTAGCTCCTGCCCTGGGCTCTGCACCAGCACCATCCACCCTGCTCCCAGCGTCAGACCGTGCCCTGGGCTCAGCCCCCAGGTTTCCGCTCGACCCTCTTCCAGGCTCTCCCGCAGCCCCTCGCATCATGTCCACTCTGCTCACTGCCTTGGGGGTCCTCATGGGACCACAGCTGGTGCCTGTTGCGACCCGTGCCCAATAAACCACACGGTGAGACCTTAACTCTGTACGCACGCGGTTTACTTCCTGGCATGGGGTGGAACTGGGGCACATGCAGGGCACGGAAAAGGAGGTGCCCAACCGGGGTCCAGCTTGGCCAGGAGCAGAGGTCTCAATACCTCCATCCTGCTGCTGGGGGAGGCACCCAGCCCGTGTCCCCCCATGGCGTCCCAGTGACAAACCCAACCAGGCCAAGAGGACAGGGGCAGAGGGGTGACGAGGGCTGCTGGACGCTCAGCCCCTGCTCCCCCGTCCCCATGCTCAAACGTCCCCACTGGGGCGCTGCCACACGTGGCCATCAGCAAAGTCACCCGGTTGCTGGACCTCGAGGACCTGCTCCGTGGTGCCCCAGCGCCAGGGCCTTTGGGGGAGGGGGGAAGAAGCAGCATGACTGTCCCGCCTTCTGGGCCCAGGTGCCACCGTCACAGCCTGCACCAAAGCAGCGCCCCACGTCAGCAGGGGTGAGACGGGGACGCAGAGCGAGGGGGGCACAGCAGCACCTGGCGGCAGAGGCAGCGTCCCGCTGCCGAGCGGCCGGACCCGCGCCACGGGGGGGGGGCAGACCCCTGCCCCCCACTGCCCCAACCCCCGGGG